CCGAATGGATCGAAGTCACAATAGCTCAAGTGGTGGAGTAGTGTCTAGCCGAAGGTCGTGGGTTCGAATCCCGCTCTTGACACTGACTTTTTTATCTCAGCTAAAAACCTTAATTAATTGAAAGATATTAATTGGTCAAGCGGACCACGAAAACTAGTGAAGTTAAGGTTAACATGAACCTAATGTTTTCTTCCTTTTGGAAAGTACAGGGAGGCAGTGAAATATTTTTATCTTTTGTTGTGTAATTTAAAATTGTTGATTTAAGGAAGGGAGAAAGAAGGAGAAGAAGGACCTTTTATTTTGGCTGTTATGCTTCCTTTATTGTAACACTAATTGTTTTCGTTTAAATAAATGACACAAAGAGGATTTAGAAAAAAAATCAAAATTAATTAAATCTTGAGGCAAATGTTATTCCTCCCTTGTTGGATGTTGCAACCGGATTTCTCCCGTCTAGGAGTTATCTTTATCTTGAGTAATCCCGTTTTTTAAAGCGCAGTGACACAATGCAATTAAAATCATGCTCGATGTTTTAAGATTGAAGCGGAGAAGTCAAACTGAAATTAAAAGAGGGGAAAAACTGAAAACGAGACTTTGTTTGAAACGTACAAGTTTCTCTAATTAACATTTCGGAGAGATGAAAAACCCCCTGGACCACCCCGAAAATAAGATATGAAGGCCTTCCACCCCCCCGGACTTCAATGGTAATTAACCTCGTTTGCACGGAGCCATTTAAGTTTTGCAATTGGGACAAAAAAATGTCCTTCTTGAAATTATGCAAACAAGCTGAGACGTTTATACTGTCTGTAATCTGAAATGAGCCTTCAGTATACCGGTCAAGCTTGACGGAAGATAAGCCGTATCGAAATTCCTATTGTTTGAATGTAATGTGGAACCAACAGTTCATGTACTCTTGCTAAACCCAAGACACTTGATAACAAGTCGAAGAGAACGCGGCCAAACCCACTTGAATCTTATCTAACTTGTCTCTTGTTCGTGTTGACAATAAAGTCTACGTTTTTAACGCATAAAATTTAATAAAAAAATGACAAAAATTTTCGCTTTGTTGCAATAGTTTTAGATAAAGATGACAAAAATGCTTGTTAGTAATCTTAGATATTTTTTTATCAAGATAAACAGCACAACATTTCTCACAACAAATCTCAGATAAAAATACTTACACTATACTACACAAACTCAACAAACTTCTATAGACCCAAATAATAACAATATATATTTTTTTTTAATCAGGGATAAGGGACATTTAAAAGAAAGCAAATCAGATCGTTTGTCAAGCTTTTGAAAAATATGATTTTAATAGAAATATTGAACATTTTAAAGTAAATATACAAGCAATTACAAGCATTAATCGATTATTCATAAATCACAAAGGATAGAGCTTGGCAACTGGAGTACTTCCTCAATAATTAAACTTTTAACAAACTTTGTATGTAAGGTCTTGGTTGAAATGAAAAAGTTAGTGTAACAAGCGGGATTCGAACCCACAACCGTCGGCTCAATACGCCGCTCCTTTAACCACTTGAACTCACGATAATTTGAAGTCACGATGGCTATTTTTAGTTATGACCAAATTACTTTTTTCAATTAATTACTCTTTTTATGTAAGGTCTCGGTTGAGATAAAAAAGTTAGTGTCATGAGCGGGATTCGAACCCACAACCGTCGGCTCAATACACCACTGCTTTAAACACTTGAGCGATCGTGACTTCAAGTTATCGTGAGCTCAAGTGGTTAGAGCATCGGCGAATTGAGCCGAAGGTCGTGGGTTCGAATCCCGCTCATGACACTAATTTTTTCATCTCAGCCGAGACCTTACATAAAAAGAGTAATTAATTGAAAAAAGTAATTTGGCCCCAACTAAAAATAGGGTTTATTAAACTATAAAGAAATCCAGTACAAAAAAGGAGATCAACATTAATAATAACAATGGACTAGACTCCGTCTGTTGAATTTAAATATTACTATCAATTACGACATTATCAATTTTGATTAATTATTCTTTTTACGAACGGTCTTGGTTCAGATGAAAAAGTTAGTGCCACGAGCGGGATTCGAACCCACGACCTTCGGCTCAATACGCCGCTGCTCGAACCACTTGAGCTAACGTGACTTCGAACAGAAGTCGATTCAAAGTTTCGTGGGTTCGAATCCCGCTCGTGACATAATCTATTTCATTTCAACCATGGCCTTACATAGAAAGAATAATTAACTGCAAGAAATAATTTGGATAATCAGACCACTAAATATAATGCTTTTAACAAACGTTCAAGACAAATTAGTAATATTTCACGTTGTACCCACATTGTTAGAATAGTCGCATATTAGCAAAATACAATTTTTTAAAAAACGTGATGGTTAAGTCGCATTGTTCATAAAAGTCTATTTTGTATTGTTTTGAAAAATTCACCTGAGATTTTTTTTTTGTGCTCCCCCCCACAGTCCTGAGTTTCAGTACATTCACAGCAGTTAATTACACATGGGATACAGGGCCGCCCCCGTGGAATTGGGCTAAAAGAGGGGTAAATAAGTAAATGAATCACGTAGAGAATTGTGATCCCCGGCGTTCGTGCTCCGAGCCGCGGGCAGGGTTTAATTCCATTTCCTTGTCTGCCTATTTCGCTTTGTGACAATGCCAATTTGCTTGCTTCGATAATTCCTTTTTAACTGGAACATGTGGAGAGAGCCATTTTTATATTTTATTTTCGGCTCTTGTAAAAAGGGAAAATGCGAAATAACGACAATGGAAATGAACAAACAAAAATAGGAGAAAGAGGAGAGAGTGGTAGGGAGGACAGAGAAAGAGCAGGGAGAGAAAAAGAGAGAGAGGGGGAAAGAAAAATTGCACAAAAAGAAAAAGTATGAAAAAGATTTGGGAGCGAGAGAGAGAGAGAGAGAGAGAGAGAGAGAGAGAGGATAACATAAATAGAGAGAGTGAGAGCAAACAACGGAAAAAAGAAAGAGATAGAACCAAAAATCGAGAGAGAGAGAATAAAAATTATACAGAAAGAGCGAGTAGAGCATTTAGAAAAAGTGATAGTAGAGAGAAAGAAAGACAGGGAAAGAAGAAGAGAAAAAGATAGAGAAAGAGCATAGAAAAATGCTGGGATAGAAACAGATAGAGATTTAATGATGGAAAAAAGAAAGGAAGAAAGAGAAAGAGAGAGCAAACAATGGAAAAAAGAAAGAGAAAGAGGGAGCAAAAAATGGAAAAAAGAAAGAGAGAGAAATACTATAGAGAAAGAGCGAGTAGAGTATATAAAAAAGCTAGGAGAGAGAAAGAGAATAGAAAAATGTTGAGAGTAAAAGTAAAAAGAAAGAGGAAAGAGCAAAGAGAAAACGTTAAGAGAAAGACCGAGAGAACTAGAGATTGTTAGCAATGGAAAAAATAAAGGGAGAGAAAGGGATAGAGGCAGAGGGAGAGAGAGAGAGAGAGATACTACAGAAAAAGAGCGAGAAGTGTATAAAGAAAAAGAGCTGGGAGAGAGAGAGAGAGGGAGAGATAACCAGCAGAGAGTGAAAACGAGAAAGAGAGAGATAGAAAGAGAGAGAGAGAGAAAGAAGGAGAGAGAGAGAGACAACTAGCATCGAGTGAGAAAGAGAGAGAGAGAGAGAGAGAGAGAGAGAGAGAGAGAGAGAGAGAGAGAGAGAGAGAGAGAGAGAGAGAGAGAGAGAGAGAGAAGGCGAGACAACTAGCAGAGAGTAAAAAATAGAAAGAAGATTTAAGTATAGATATCGCTTTATTTAACAACGTAGAATTAGGTCTCTTCGACCTTCCTTACATCCAATGTGGACAATAGCTTATAATTTACATTATAAAAAAAACTCTAAATTGTCTGTTTTACATAAAGTATGGTAGATATCCATTTACAACATGAATTTTTACATTTATTAGTTTTACTTTTTGGGATTACAATATTTTGTTTAACTTTTTTAGGGTTGTATCAAAAGATCCATTATAATTAATTATCATTAAATTAAACAAAGATTTTACAAACATATAGAAAAATTAAAATCTATAAACTTTACCTTTAAAAAGAAAGAGAGAGAGAGAGAGTGAGAGAGAGAGAGAGCGAGAGAGAGAGTAGAACTCAATTAACTGAAATTGTAAATTTGCTCCATGTTATTATTTAATTAAGAATCTGTGGTAATAATCTGTTATAAGTGATATTTCAGTAAATACATTTTTTTTTTTTTATTGGCCTTATGATCTTACGCATAGTACCAATTCTTGTGTGTTCAAATTGGGGGTTATCGGGAAAAAAGGGCCAGAGGCGACGGTGGGTATCGAACCCACGACCGCGGCGTGAGAGTCTCTCATGCTAACCACTCGGCTACCACGGTCCCCGACAATAAATACAATCTTAAATTGTCACTAAAATATGTTTTTCTTTATTAGGGTCTGTAATGCGGAAACAATTAAAGGTAACTAGATGTGTTATCACAAATCATAAGTGATCGTGTATTTCTAATTGCAAAAATAATGGTACAACAAAACAAAAATTAACCCGAAATTATAATTTTCAAGAGAGAAAGAAAAACAGGTCCCACGCCAGATCGGTAGGGTCTGAATTAGCAAACTGTTTCGAACTGGTGTTCGCCGTGATAAACAGCCGATGAATTTCAATTAAGACGGCTATTAATTTGTGTCAAGTAAATTTTTCCCCTTGTGCAGGTGAAGCCGCAAACGGGAAGGGAAGGACAGATTTATGTCTGCCTGGCCCCTGTTCCCTAATCCTCGGGATATGAGAACATGAAATAAGGGAATGTTATAAATCCAGGATCCCGTCAGGTGCTTGGGAAAATTTTGATATATTGCAAAATCACAGCCCCCTTTTATAAATAATACACTGTTGTTTTGTACCCGTGAAATCTATGGGCTTTACGGGGAACTTAGACGTTTAATACTCCAGCTTGTAATAGTTGTCATTTCTCTGTTAGAATGAGTAAAGACCTTGGTGAATTTTCTTTTTTTCTTTGTGACAGGTATTCTCGAAGGCGAGGGTTATGTTCAGCATCAGCGGCTCCGTTTACAGCGGTAGATCCGTCACGTATTCATACATGCCGGATAAAGTCCTGGAAAATGCGAGGAACGTCACTATCCATCTGCACAACCACTTGGCCAGATACGTCAAACTTCAACTTTATTTTGCTTCTAAATGGGTCATGATTAGCGAGGTGACATTTGAATCAGGTAAGTTTGTGCAAACGTGTTTCTAATTCTAAAAGGATTAGTTTTTATTGTCTTTTCTCATTATCTTATTGCAGCCTTCTTTTTTATTTCATCACTTCGTTTCCAAATTTCATGCCCTCTTTCGTCCTTTTTTCTTTTGCCTTATACCTTTCATCAGCTACCTATTCACATTTTTATCTCTTTGTTCTGTTTTGCTATTCAACATTGTTTTATTTTATAACATTAGGTTAATTATTGTAAAATTTTATAGATTTAGGAAAGAATATTATTAAAACAAAGAGTGATAGAGGGGGTAGGTGGGGGAGACAAAAGAAGAGAAAAGAAGAAAAACATGTGTCCCATGGAAGATGTCCACCCACCCCCGAACATGCTTAATTTTGATAAATCTTTTTTAATTTTTGGTTTTTAAACTTTCTCTCAGAAGGGTTGTCACCCCCCCCCCCAATGTCACGACCATACGGTCTATACCTCGTTATGTGGTTGGATCGCGTGTATCCCCCGTAGGTCAGATGCTCAGGAGATCGTCACTTCCCAACCAACTGTCTTGTAGCCAAGAAAAAAATCAATTAGAAAAAATACAAAATGTTAACCTCCATAGCCTCGGCAGTGGCTCCTAATTGAAGGATCTTGCTTGTGGTTTTGGTTTTTCCTGTCCTAATTGCAAGAACCTGTACCTACATAGACCTTCATAGAAAAAAATGTCTTCTGCGGTCTCCTCCTCTTCTTGGCAGTATCTGCACTTCTTTCTTCAGTCTGTACTTCTATCCTGGGCATGAGCCTTCTTCAGTAGCAGTGTCCTGTCAGTGGGCGATCAGTCCCACCTTAAAAATAATACTGAACCACGCTGAGTATCCAAGCGGCTCTACGAATTGAGGTTAGACTCGTGGTGGTCGTGGTTTGTAAATAACTTGTACCTTAGCTGGAGGGTAGCGCCCAACCGGAGCCGGAAATAAAGTGCCTTCTCTATATCTCCGGGGTGGTGAAAGTCATGGCTAAAAGGCTGTGCTGGAAACCAGAAAACTGCCTTTTTCAAGGCACATGTATGGATGTGCCATTTTTAGGGAACTTCTGAACTTGTTACAATTGCACCACCTCGCTAGCCAAGGGATGTGTCAAGTCCATGCATGTAAACTCGTCCCTGATGACACTAGCGTCTGAGAAGTTCCCTTGGGGATAGGGCCGGAGGTCAACACCCATTAGTAAAGATGGGAACATCTGTCCTGTCAGGAGTCGAAACAGAAACCTGGTTCAGTTACTGTTGCCTTCCAATAATTCCTTTGTAAGTTTTGCAGATGGTCCTTCTATGTATCTCTTCGCGTACCTCATACCTGTAATGTACCACCAATTTTCGACGCATTAAGGATCCATTTTCTCTTTTGTGGCAAGATGCTAAGCCACAGTAGGGTCAGGACCTAGAGAGTCCAAGCATCATCTTTAGCCAAAATGTCAAACTTTTCGCTGCCTCTATGCCCCGATGAGCAGGGATCCATGCCAGGGTAAGATCATTAGTGTCGCTGACTTCCGTCAGGGCATCCAAACGCTCTTTACCTCCACCTCGCATGAGGCTGGGGCCTTTAGTGTTGCCTGACCGTCAGAGACCTGCCCCCGTGCCCTTGTCAGTTTTGGAACCGTCAGTGTTCCTGTAAGAACCGACAAAGTCTGAGAAAGGGTCTGCGACATCTACATACCGATTAATATGCCGAACTGTCCGCGATAGACAACATTCCGAACCATAATTCTTCCTTTGTTGGGAAACATAAATAGCGGAGTCGGCGCTACTCTTCTACAACGATAAAGAAGTCAAGATCTCTAGTCAATCTTATTTTTAAATATCTTCCACAAGAGGAAGACAGAAGCCAAAATTCGTCTACCTTCCAAAGAGTCCAGACTGACCAAATCCAGCCTTACAGAATAAGGGAGCTCACAATTGTCATGTATTTTTGAAAACAAATAGTTACATGCCCTGCTTTGAACACTCTCAATCCTGGCGACCAAACAATACTAGCATACTCCAAATGTCAACGAACAAGGGGATGGTAGAGGATTTTTATGGCAAGTACAATTTTAAAATCTACCTTCTGCCTTCTAATGAAGCCAAAAATTTTAAATGCTATTGTAAGCGGACGACGGCGCGGCGGCCGAATAATATCTCGATATTCGCTTGTTTTTCTCTAAGCGACAAGAGATGAGTCGGCGTAAGCGCGTCGCTACTTATTCTTGTGTAGGGGAAGGTTCCAGAATTCAATAAACCAGAGACAGGATTCAGTAACATTTATTGTACACAAGTCCTTCTCTTAACAGTACCCTAATTGCTAATTAATTAATCTACAAGTCAGCCACAACTCTAAATCTGGGATGAGTCTATCAACAAAGGGGCTTACCCCAAACGATGCTCGCCACGATCAGTGTCCACAGCATCTCTTCTCTCGACCTCTGACTTGGCTCGATTGGTCGGTCCTCGCTGGCTCTGGCTGGCTGAGTCCTGTTGTTGAATCCCAGACGGAGTGTGGCTGATTCTCTCCCGGTCCTTGGTCTTGACTGCCTGGGATGAGTCTCTGATGTTGACTGGCTGGGGTGAGTCTCTGATTTCGACTGGCTGGGGGGCGAGTCTTGCATCTTGACTGACTTTTGATTTTCCAGTTATCCCTTTTATACCGGGTCTCTCCCGGAGTAGGGTGGAAAGGAAACTCAAAAGGCGGGGGAGCTCTCACGCCGCGGCTGGGCCGGCAAAGACGGCGGGCTAGCATAGGGCTGACGTATTCCCAATTTACGACGTCCCCTGTTCTTACCTCTCTACCTGGGTAACCACTAGGTCTTTCCTTTACTTGTCCCGCTTCTAGGCCCTTTAAGAGCTTTGCAGGTGACATTTTGCTTTCCTCTGCCTAGTGGTCGCGGCTCAAATTCCCCCACCGGAGCTTTGCGGCGCTATGATAGCGCCCCCGGGATGGGCCGCGCGGAGGCGTCCGGCTGGGATGTGGGGGAAGAGCATGTGTGTCTAATATGTAGCTATAGACGTTATTATTAGGCAATGCTGGATATTTGGTGCTGCTTCTTTTTAGGCAGGCCAGCCTTTTTGTTTCATTACTGCCTTCCAGTACTTTTGAGTTGCCTTATAATCAGTTGGACTAGCGATGATGGCTTGCAATGATCTCATTGTTCTTACTTCTTTATTTATTTCATATGACCATCTCGTCCGGTGAGTGCAATATATTTCACAAGATAGAGCGACATGCTCCACCGTTTCCTGCTCTCCGCATGAGCATAATGGTGTGGTACTCAGGCCGAATTTGTGCAGCTTGGCCATGAAGTCTCCATGTCCCGTCAGAAGCTGCGCCATATAGTGATCCACCTGTACATGCTTTGCTGCGATCCTGTTGTCCACGCTAGGAAAGATCTGGTATGTATATCTCCCTTTGGGTGATGCGTCCCATCGGCGCTGCCATTCTTCATGCATCCATCTATATGCCTCACACGAATTCGTTATGGGGATTCCAGGTCGTCGCCCGTTTTCAACGTCCCAAGCAGCTGCTGTTGCCCTTGCCTGTAGGTCCAGCGGTGGCCTCCCTGCAATGATCTGTAAGGCGTCCGTTGAGGTCGTTCGGTATGCTTGAGTTATGGCGAGCAACGCTGTTCTTTGTGCACTCAAGAGTGTGGCCCAGTCAACTGCTCTCAGTCCTCGCACCCAAGCGGGGGCTGCGTATAGGAGGACCGACTGGCATAGCGCTGTATAATAAATCTGTCTGGTACGGTAAGAAATGCCCCATGCCGCACCACACATGGCTCTGATGGCAGCAACGCGGGCCGGGATTTTATCTCTAGCAAATCTCGCGTTTACGCCAAACTTTAATCCTGCAGACATTCTGACTCCTAGGTATGTAACGACTGTTGGTGCTTTGATAGTTTTTCCTTCTATTCTTATGACGGGTGGCGACCGCATGTTAAGTGACCCCTTTAACAATATCATTTCAGTTTTTTCCGGCGCCACGTTGAGCTTTACTTGTCTGCACCATGTGGTCAGGACGGTAACAGCTCTACGGCCTTGCTCCTCAATTTCCGCCTTGGTATTAGCTTGCAGTACGACTGCTAGGTCGTCAACGTAGGCGACGGCCCTGAGGCCAGCGTTCTCCAGCTCTCTTAGAGCACCGTCGAAAAGTAGTGACCAGAGGAACGGGCCAAGCACTGACCCCTGCGGTATGCCCATTTCAACGGCTCTACCTGGGTAACCATTTCCAAGCTACATTTGCCAGATGTGTCACGTCGTTCCCGTCTGGGCGGTTGCCCCTTCAAAGCACAACCCCTGACCCTTTTCCTCGTTTACCTATTTTGTTCTTATTTTACAATTTAGCTTATCGCTAAGACGGGGGCCGGCTTACACTATTTTTTGGACAGCTTCAAGTGGTCTCGAAAATCGCAGATGTTATTACATTATTCATCATCCCTAGGTCCGGAACCGACGTCGTCAATGAGATGAAAATTTAATTTGTAAACAAGCAAGTCAGCTCATTCGCAACTTTTTTCTTCGAACATTTTATGACCTTACACTTATTTTCATTTCATTTAAGATTATTATTGTCGTACAAAGATCAGAAAGCGTCTAGATCCTCCTGCAGTAAATTACATTGCTCAAATGAAGAAGTTGGGCGAAAGATTTTCAGGTCGTCATCAAAGTGAAAATCTGAACAACTCACCAAAACTGGCAAAATCAATGCTGCAACTGGAGAGGGCTAAACTCAGAGGCGTGGTAGGACTAATAACCGGTCACTGGCATCTGAAAAAACATCTACACAACATGGGCACATACAACGAAGATCCCATCTGCAGATTGTGTAATGAGGAGGAGGAAACAGCCACCTATATCATCTTCGACTGCGAAGAAACAGCTCAATGGAGATTCAACCTAACATACGAAAAAAACTTAGGGAATGAAATTGTAGCTGCGACAGTTAATGACCTGATAATTCTAAGGAGAAGGATTAAGTCTATCGCACTGAATAGGGAGGTAAAATAAGCCGGAAGGCAGTGCCTATGGAGCACAACCCCCCCTTCTTACTATCCTTATTACCATACCATATTTTTCTGTGGGAGGGTTTAGCAAGATATTTAGCAGGTTTCTTGGGTTGTCTTTCACGTAAAACCCAATGGTTCTGTCAGAAGGTTCATCCAACCTTCCACTCAGTTTCTATTGAAGGTAACATGTCATTTTCTGTTAAGGAAATTTATTTTTTCTGGTTCATTCGAAAGAGGTCTTCATTCTTAAAAATAACAACAGAAATGACAAAAATTCAACGCTTAGGTCTTGAGAAATAAGAAGGTTGATTTGATATTTTTGGACGGAGCGGGGCAAAATTTTCCTGAAGTCGATCAACCTGACCCATCCATAATGGTCTTTGGTGCCGGGGGAAAAGGAATTTTGGGAAATGACCAAAACAAACTGGCCAGTGGAGGATCTGCACTGAACTAAGGAACTAGGAAGGTACAATGAGCCAGAAGGCTGCATTGCCTGGGAGCACAAACCTGCTTCCTAGTATCCTTACCACCATACCATACCATACCAAGTGAAAATCTGGAGCTGTTAATGACTGTTCATTGAAAAACATCAAAAACAATACTGGCCCCTAATAGTCCATACTGGCCCCCTGGGGAACACCGGCGTCAATATGGACAGGGGCCGATAATTGTCGCAGGTGTAAATAAATAAAGCAAAAACTTATGTAAGGAACAAAATAAATTGAAAATATTAGTTTTGCCCTTTAAAATTAGGAGAAAATTGATTTTTAGGGGATTTCAATTAAACTGGTTAAAACAAGTCGTCTCCGGAGATCATGCATAGGAAATATTTCGCTCAGGAAATTTGTTTGAACAAGTTTGAACAAGGAAGTAGTTCAGGGTCTTAATCGGATCGCTTTATGATATAAGACATTTTCACGGAACCTTGCATGTCCCATGACAAAAGACTTTTCTATTTTGTATTTCATAAATATAACTGCTTATTTTCCGGCCTTTCGATTACTTATAAACTGTCAAACCTTTGTAATGTTAAACAATACTTTTCTAAATAAATTCGTAACAAAGAAATTGTTTTATAGCATATCGTTTTTATACAGAAAATTGGTAAAGAAAAGGCTTTCAGTATATTTTGAATGAAAAATCCCACCAACACAAAGGACGGTCTTCGACGATTTATTCTAAGAAAAATTAATATTCAAGATATATTGTTTGAATTTTAATATATAATTAGTTTAGAAAATTTTTGATTAATGTCAGATCAAAGTTAATCTGTAAATTGTTTTTAATTCACTGAAAGCCTGTAGAAATGTTAGCTTCTGTTCTTTATGAGGGTTATTTCATAACCTTAGTTTTAAAAAATTAAGTTTTAAAGAGAGAAAACTTTATTTAACTTAGCTTTTGATAGGGTCTGGCACCCGGGCATGCTTTATAAACTTAAACACTTCCTACCCACTCCTTATTATCTTATCCTGAAATCCTCCCTAAAGACCACTGCTTCAGAGTGAGGTGGAAGCCGGCGTCCCACAAGGGAGCATTTTTGGTCCCAACTTTTATATCATCTATATTACTGACCTACCATTAAATGTAGGACTACAGTGACAATGGGTGTGGCCAAGGAGGGGGTGCAACCTGAAAAGGTGAGCCTCGTGTCCCCGGTAACTTCTCTTTCTCAATCCAGGTCCTTCGGCATATTTCTTTGATACCTCTCACAACCCTGGCATGGCACCCTTTCTAAAGCACAACCTCGTGTCGGTCTCCGAGTCGTCAGCCGACGGCGGGTGCTTCATCAGAGGCACACGAGAGTTGGGTACCAGATCCTGTCTGCATTGACGGTGGAGAGTGCATAACCATCTGAACTACGAGGTAGCAGAAAATGTTCCAAGTCCAAACCTTGCTACCTGACCCACAGGAGTGTCCATGAGGACTTCGCAGCAAAACTGTATTCATTTCGTCGAAAGGAAGACCCATCATTCATGTAGAGCACCTCTGGAGACGGCAAGTCATACGCTCTTTGAATGCACAAATTTTGATACTCTAAGACGTTGGAAAAGAGAAGCTGAAAGGAAAGTAGCGCTCACATTAAAAATCATGTTTGCTACTGAAAAAAATGTATAGCTACAAAAAAATTTAATTTCGCCGGATACCGCGAAGAGGTCCTTCCTGGACATGCTTATGCGGGACAAAGTTCCGGGACCGCTAGGCAGGGCCAATAGGCCGAGAAAATATAGATCCTGATAGAGCCCTTTGGGCGAAGGTGCAGGAAGAAACAAAGACCTAGCAGGGTCCTAAGATATGTCCTTGTGTTACCCCCCTGCCTTGCGACACCCGGCTGATAGAGGGTGGCCACTGATGAGAACTTGAAAGTATCTGTCGGATCGGTAGAATTTTAGAATAGGTAGTAGGTAAAAGGGAGGACTTTCTTAAGATTCCAGATGAACCTCTTGTGCCACTTGTGCCATACCCGATCGAACGCTTGTTTGACATCTAGGAATCACGGGGGCAGGACTCTTTTTGCTCAAGAGCGGACGTGATGTCTACAACGCGATGGCACTGCTCAACAGTAGAATGAGAACGTCTGGACCCAAACTGGTGGTTAGGGATAAGGTTATAAGAACGAAGGATGAGAAGAATGTCTTTAAGCAGGAGTTTTTCTACGATTTTGCCTGTTATAGGCAACAGACTCATTGGACGGTACGATGATAGAAGGTTATGTGGTTCTTTAGGCTGTGGAATCATTCGGATGAGCGAAAATTTCCATTCGGATGGGAAGTATGTTATTCTAAGGACAGGATTGTAAAGGTAGGTAAGGAAAAATACAGCTTTTTTAACCAGAAGCTTTCTGTAAGGGTAGATGCCTTATGATATGGGATACTTGTTAACTTTAAACCCTAAGAATTTAACCCTATTTTCAAATTTAAAGAAAAACACTATATCGAGTTGAGATGGGATGTTAGTGTCCGAGTGGATCGAAGTCACCATGGGTCGTGGTAGAGCAGCGGTGTATTTAGCCAAAGGTCGTGGGTTCGAATCCCGCTCATGACACTAACTTTTTCATTTCAACCAATACCTCACATAAAGATTAATTAATTGAAAGATGTTATTTGGTCAATCGGACCACGAAATCTAATGGGCTTATAAACTGATTTTTTTTTCAACGTTTAAAACCAAGAAATTAGAGTGGAAATAAATATTAATATATCTTAAATATTCATAAAACTTATCACAGGTGTGATTAAATTATAATTTTTTTTTTAGAACCGATAGACGCAAATGTCACGGATGAAATCGGTGCAAGTTTGGCAGAAGAGGAAATAATAATCAAGTCGGGAGGTATTCACGATTCCATGTGGGACAGCTATGAAACCAGTAAGTAAGACGTTAAAAAAACAGTTAAACTTGAAAATATAGTTGTTTCAATTGAAAAATTAGTTTTTTTTTCTATATGTGAGATTATTTTAAAACTGAAAGTGTAATTAATTTTTATATAAGCAGGAAAGTTTCCGTTTTTATCTTATTTACGTGATCTGTTTAATTCTTTTAAAAAAATCCTTTAACAAACTAAACTATATATTCAAAAAATAAACTTCATTTAGGTTGAATTTATTAAATTTTAACATAATAAGTTGCAGCACCTACAGAGGAAAATGGATATGTTGAAGTAATCATCGGAGTATTGACTGCAGTTATGCTGCTCCTGCTTGGCGTGTTCGTTATCATACTGGTACTTAGCAGGCGTCAGAAACTTCAAGGGTCTCCGACTACGATATTAAGAAACCCATTTGGTGTAACTATAAACATGAAGGTAGAGGTGAATACCTTTAGCTAGAGTGGTTTGTTATTAATAAGGATATCCTTGTTCAATCTTGAGTACTGCTATACCGATTCATAAACCGAAAATTTTCTTTTCGATTGTGCATCAAATGTCAATTATTTTAAAAAGCTGGATATCCGATTTAATACACACTTTTTTAAAGAGGTTTTTAGACCTTGTAGTTACAAAATTACGATGATCTTTTAGGATCTTCTTTTGAACCTTTCGCCTATGAATACGGGCATTGTTCACGTCAGCGCGCAGCCGACTCCAGCGAGCCAGGATCCACCGAGCGACCAGTCTTCGATGTGTTTTGAACACACCCAACACTACCACACACCACTTGTCAACCCGTATTATGCCAGTACGACGTACGCTTCTATAAGAGCGGAGTCTCCGATGAGAAGAGGTAAAACATTAATACAAGCTTTCGTGATTCGGCATTTAGCAGTAGTTAGGGTTATAAGCAGGTTAAGGCAATTGAAAATGACGAAAGGACGAAAAAGAGAAAATAGATAGACCAGAATGATTGGAATGACCGAACTTCAGGTTCATTTTGATTTAGTCTATCAGACATGTTTCGTTATTTTGCCATCTTCAGCGCTGGCTTGTAGCTGGTCAGGGATATAAGCAGGTTGAGGCAAGGCCAAACTGCACCTCCAAACTACAAGTCCTTTTAGGTTTATTTTGTCGTATTTCGGAATTTCACTATTTTCGTTGTGTTTGTACGTGTTCACGGTTATAAGCAGGGGATGGCAAATAACACATTAGGGGAATTCACGATGTTTGTAAGATGTTAACTCGAATAGAGAAATGTCCAGTAAGATCGTGAAGCCCCCTTCTTTTCTTGGCATGTTAAACGTTCATTTTTCCGCAATGCTGCGCGTGGCGATTGGTAGAACCAAAAATAAAGCTATAACAGTCCTTGAAGGCTTGTTTGTTTTGGTTTCCCTTTGTGTTAAGTTGTAAAATCCTAGAAGTTAATAAAACAAAGGGAAAAAATCAACTCTTTCATTCAAAATGCTATTGTGAATTGGAAAAGTACTAACAACTGACACGCTTCAATTCGTGCCGACATACCTAACTTGTATCCTAACCTCTGACAGCCTACAACTTGATAGGATAAGGGATGTATCAATTATGAATGAGAGTATACAAACTGGTCAGAAATTAACAAAAGAAACGTATTGGTCTGATTTAATTTACGCTTATTTAAGAATAAAAATACGTGTAAACAAAAAACAGCTGTTGAATTCATGGCTGCCATGTTGGTTACCTACGCCCTAACGGATAGCAATGCGACTACATTTTCGACCTAACTCCTAACATTGGCTCTGGCCTGTTGGATCGAGCAATGTTAACTGTACGTTTTTACAAAATGGCGAATTGATTGAAAATTAATCCTCAAATTGAACTCAAATGGCGTTAAGTCGGACAGAAAGGTAAAACAAACGCAAAAATATCAGGATTAGATATAGTACCATTTTTCCCACAGTAAATCAATAACGAATAACTAGGCAATTAGTCTTAAATGTAGTACGGGTGTGCTGAACAAACACTAAAGGCGCTTTGGCCACAGAGAAAATGTTGAGTAAGGCCAAGAGAAATAGAAAGGAACAAATAATGAGATACTCATTTTTAGAAGAATATTACTCCTATTCTTCTTATTATTTTAGTTTTCCTTTCGATTTTGATAAACGGAATTTATAAGATAACATTTTTTCTTACATTCGTTTAACTTGTAGGGTATACACGTTCCCACACGCGACATTCTCAAATGGAAAACTACCCTTGACGAACATCTTCTGTACCTTTCGAATGGTGATGCCGTTGATATCTATCATTAAAGCTTTCAGTAGGGCTTCGAGGGCTTTCCTAAGGGTTCTTTGTTTTTAGAACATCCACGCTCCGCTAGTTCTGAACTAGTTTCAACAATAAGAACGATTGGGACGGACGGAAACTGTTTATAATTCAAAAGAGAATTAATGATACGAAAGCGAACTCCGTATTAAAGCGCAAATTACTCGGCACAACACTTCTAAACACGACGAAACCAGAACAGAATTAATTAAAATTCATTACAAAATTATACATTCACGCAGAAACGTTGCTACGTAGAACAGAATTCAAGATATTGTTGGCTTAATGCGTTTCATTTATTACATTACAAATAAATGATAATTTTTCCCAATAAAACAATTTTTATTAAATAAACTAGGGCCTTGAGGCACGACAGTAGGCTAGATCTCCAATATCAGAGGGTCAAAAGTATTTTTAATCGTCATGTTTGTGATATTGCGTTATTTTTTGCACGAATGTATTTATTAGAGTGAATGGTCGGCTTTATCCTCAATTACCCCGAGAGATATCGAGTAGGCTGAGGTAGAGTACATGAATGTAATTTATTAGATTATTCGGAAATCATGAGATGCGGTCTGGTGTGATGTCGGTTTCAGAAAAACAGTTTCTTTATTCTGCCAATGTTTCGATCTTTATTGAGATCATCTTCAGGGCTCAAAGTGTTTGTTTTCTGCGTACTTGTGCCATTCTTGAGTGGGCATTCTCAACACGACACACAAGAAAGTCACAAGTACGCAGAAGACAAACACTTTGAGCCCTGAAGATGATCTCAATAAAGATCGAAACGTTGGCAGAATAAAGAAAGTGTTTTTTTGAAACCGACGTCACACCAGACCGCATCTCATGATTTCCGAAAAATCGTCGACTAACGGTCACTAATCACCACACACAGGTAATTTTTTAGTGTGAACGAATGGTCTTTTTCATAATTACCCCAAGCTCCGTCGAGTACGCTGGGGTAGTGTGAATGAATGTGTGAATGTAATTTATTAGCGTGAATGGAGAGGTTTATCGTCAATTACCCTAAGTTCCGTAGGGTTCGCTGGGGTAGTGTGAATGTGATTTATTAGCGTGAATGGAGAGGGTTATCTCCAATTGCCCTGAGGAATATCTTGTATTCTGGAGTAGTGTGAATGTATGTGCGAATATAATTTATTACCGTGAATGGAGAGGTTTATCGCCAATTACCCTAAGTTCCGTCGGGTTCGCTGGGGTAATGTGAATGTAATTTATTTGCGTAAATGGAAGGACTAATCCCCCATTGTACCGAGGAATATCGAGAACTTTAGGGTGGTGGGAATGAATGTGTGAATGTAATTTATTAGCGTGAATGTAGAGTCTTATCGCCAATTGCCGCGAGGAATATCGAGAACTTTAGAGTAGAGAGGTATGTGTCACCCGGAATAGAGTGGCTTTTCCTCCATTACCCCGAGCAATATCGACTATTCTGAGGTAGTGTGAATGAAATTTATTAGCGTGAATGGAGAGATTTATTGCCAATTACCCCAAGGAGTATCGAGTATTCTTTGGTAGTGTGAACGCAGTCTAGTGTGTGCATGTAATTTATTAGCGTGTATACTAATCTCCATTTATTCCGAGGAATAAAAGGAATAAAACTAAAATAGAGAAATAGAAAAAGTTAAATGAAAGACCATCCGATACTCATCGCCCCAAGAGATGTCTTCAACAGGATGTTTGATCCAAATAAACTTAGGTCCCAAATGAATGAATGGAAAAAATGGAAAAGAGAAAAGAACTCCTCCTATAAGGAAGGCACAATCTAGGCAGTCATCAATTTTTAAACTGACCTTAAAACCAATAAGTAAAGTGAACTGTAAGATTTCTCCATGGAGTCTGCACGTTGATGAACCTTTCTGGTCTGTCAGACCAAAAGTGAATATTAACACTCAAATTACATAATAAATCTTTTATTTGAGGTTTGTAGGTTATTGAACTTCCAGCACTGCTTACATTTCTTGCTGTAGCTCTCAGAGCTCTTTCCTTAGTCAGTTTTTAATCGATCATCTTCAGTCCTTGGCTTTTTAGAATATTTTAAGCCTTCGTTATTTACACGTGAATGTTTCATTTTGCAGAGGAATCAATACATTCCGATGTGTCCCACAAGGAAGCCGTTGACGACGTGAGCGACAATAACAGTATTACAGGCAGCCTGTCAGGCAAAGCATACCAGAGCTATTCGACCCTGCAGTTCAGGAGCATACAAAACCCACCACTTGTAATCAACGGTAAACCGAACAATCTATCAGCAACGCCCTATGCCGTCACTGGACCAGATTCTCCCGTGAGAAAACGATACCACACTGCGCCAAGAGAGAAAAACAGGGTAAATAGAAAAATATATTAAAATCATTTTTTCATTGACAGACTACTGTATCCACAATTATGCTACTAAGAAACATTTTGCCTTTTATTGATATATTTGTTTTTTATTATATGGTCTCATTATGCTGGATTTTTTTTATTACAGATGGCACCTCCTGCAGTTTCATGGAATATTGCACCCAGCATGGGACAATCCTACAAGTGTCGTGAAGGAGAATTAGTACCCATACCTCGATATTGCCTTCGGATTTTACAGAAATTAGGCTCTTGCCATGTAGGAGAAGTAAGTTTTTTTTATACCCACATTTAATTAAACACAATCACTTTTTTTCTATAAACTGCTGAAATCTTGTAGGTGATTATGTGTGAAATGGACGGTGAGGAAGTCGGTAAAGGGCATGTTTTCGTTAAGACGATGCAAGAAGAATGTATCAGAGAGATAAAACTCTTGTCGAGTTTGAACGATCAAAACGTTGTAAGGACTTTAGGCGTTTGTACAGCTGAACAACCACCTTGGGCGGTGATGGAATTCCCATCTGAACTGGGCGATCTAGCCCATTTACTGACATCAAATGAAAACCTTAAGTACGTTGGAATATCAGATATAATTACAATCTGACGGCTAATGCAAAATATTTTTAAAAAATTTTGCTTTTCAGGTATGGATGCTTAATGTTTATGTCCTTGCAAATAGCTTCTGGAATGAAATATATGGAATCGAAAAATCTTGTCCATAAGGATCTAGCAGCTAGGTAAAGTTATATATTTATTTTGAAGAAAATTGTTGACTAATTTAATTTTTTTTCTAGAAACTGTCTTGTTGGGAGAGGGTACACTATCAAAATAGCAGACATTGCAATGTGTAATCCAATTTATGAAAAGCATTACAGTGAAATTGGAGGGCGTCCACCAGCACCGATCAGATGGCTTGCATGGGAAAGCATCCTACTCGTAATTATTTTAAATATATTTCCAATAATACACAAGCTAATGTTTTCTCTTTGTCGAACAAGGATCGGCATACGTGTGCAAGTAGTGTATGGTCGTTTGCCGTTACGCTTTGGGAAGTGTTCAACAGATGTAACGACATACCGTTTTCCAATCTGACAAACGATCAAGTCGTACAGAACGCCGAGCAGATGTACTACGGAGGAGAACTGCCTGTATGTTTAATCTTGTATTTAAATTTTAAAAATATAACTGATTTTTTTTTCAAGGTGGTTTTGCCGAAACCATCAATCTGTACATGCGACGTCCATGATCTGATGATCAAGTGTTGGAAACGGGATCAGAACGTGAGACCGACCTTCAGGGAAATATACTTGTTCCTGAAGAGGAAACACATGGGCGAGACGTTGTCCAGCCATCCGAAGAAAATCGACGTTTAAACATCCTTACACATCGACATAAAAAAACTATTAATAAATTGACAGTATTAAAAATGTTATTACATTACTCCTTGTACATTATTTGATTTGCCAAAAGATACGAGATATTGTGGGGTTCATTAATGACAATATGCCAGCAAACCTAATCATTAGCATTTTTCGAACCCTAGTAGTGCTGTAATTTAGGTTATAGGTCAGATAAGGTTTGAATATATTCATTTTTCATATTAATTACATAACCTACAAGCTCATTAGATGTTAATTTATTAAATTTAACTTTATAATAGTCTTACGTAATTTTTTAAATAATTTTCTTTACTGCGTACAATCGTCAACCCCTTATTCACATCAATTTTGTAAATCCTTTTTAAATAATTTTTTTATACATTATTTTAATCAGTCTTAGTTAAAGTTGAAGTTTTTTACCTTCTGAGTCACCAATACTATCAAAATCTTTGTATAATAATGTGTTGTTTAATGACTGGTGGTTCAATAAGTGGTTGAAATAGCTTTTCATTTAATTGACTATGTTTCGTCCTTTACTCAGGTCATCTTCAAAGCATAACCTGTAGTGTTATTTTTGTACTTTGTTAAGTTTAAACATGGTTAAAATGTTGTGATTGTGTTCACGACATTTACACTTAAAAAACATGATAGTGCAAGAACGCTATATTTTATGACTTGAAGATGTCTCGAATAAAGGTCGAAACATCGGCAATTACATGAAGAATGTGTGAATGACCGTTCCTCATTGTTTCAACCACTGTTTTATAATAATTTTTTGAAGCTCGATTTAGTTGCAAGGAACCACAATATAAATCCAGTGTCATATAAAGATTTTAAAAAATGTATCAAAGCATTGAGAAAAACAAAAAAGTCTATTTTAATGCTGTAAATTTAAATTCAAAATTATTCAATAATTACTAACCTGGTTTTTCTCTTGTTCAGTATTTCATCAGTTTAGGGTTGTAGTTAGCGAACAAATAAGTTTATTCTCTTTGTAGCGGTTTTGAAACTATGGCCTCCTTCCTTTTCAGTGTCAGATTTCCCTCATGATGAAGGAGAGAAATCCAATCAGTACTTCTGAATTACAAAGAGAATAGGGATAGGGATGAAAGATGCCCCAAGACCATCCACACCTCGAGTAGGTCGAATATCAGTGCTCCTCTGGTTTTTATAACTCACTGGCCAGCTTCAGGTTGTTAATCAACCTCCATAGCCTTCCCAGTGGCTCCTTAGTGTAGGATCTTACTTGTGGTTTTTCTTGTCCTAGTTACAAGAACCTGCTCCTACATAGACGTTCATAGAAACATAAAATTGTGTTCTGTGGTCTCCTCCTCTTCTTGGCAGTATCTGCACAGTGTTTCTTCAGTCTGAATTGCTATTCTGTGCAGTGCTTTCTTAAATGGCAGCGTCCTGCCAGAAGTCCAACCGGAATCCTGGTTCAGTTGCTGTTGCCTTCCAATAATTCCTTTGTAAGTTTTACAGATGGCCCTTCTACCTTCGTGCACCTCATAACAATGTACGACCAGTTTTGGGCTCGTTAAGGATCCATTTTTAGACGTATCCTGTTTTGTGGCAAGATGCTAAGCCACACTAGGGTCAGGATCTAGAGAGTCCATGTTGGCTCCATCTTGGGCCGACCAAATTGTCGTTGTCTCTATGCCCTGAATGCCAGGAACACAAGGGTCAGGTCATTAGTATGTTTCACAGTGTTACTTCATTCTGTACTCATATCCGGTGCATGTACTTTCCTAAGTGGCAGTCAGGTCAGGAGTCTAACCAGAATCCTGGTTCGGTTGCGGTAGTAATTCCTTTATAAGTGTAACTCTTCGCCTGCATAGGGTATTATTCCACCAGACATTGGACAGTTTACAGTCAGTTCAGTCTTTGGATTCATCCCGAAGACTCCAGCCCTCCTGACAGTTTTGGAGCCATCAGTGTACCAGTAAGTATCTGCCTTGACTGTTTGGCCCATTCTTCCCGTTCTGGTATCAATACCTTGTACTTTTTAATTCAGGAATATTTTGGAGTAGCGGCACTGACATGCCTAATATGGCATCTGCCTCTATCTCCTCTAGCTTTTCTTTAATTACATCCCGTAGAGTCTTGGTCCACCGCACCACCAACCCAGCAAAGAGATTATACGTTGTTCTCTAATTACAACCCCTATTAATTTTAATTACTAAATAATAATTTTTTGTGAGTTATTTTTGATTGCAGTGCAATATAATAAACATGGATGAAGAGTAGAATTAGGGTCATAAGATAGAAACTGCTTCAAGTTAAAAAAAAATTGTGATAGAACCCCTGAAAAAAGACTGTCTAGCTACTTTTGAAGCATTGTGAATCCCTATTTTTTTCTTTTTTTTCTTGATTATGCATAGGCGTTTTTCATTTTAATAGAGTTATGTATTAATTAATGGTGCAGCAGTGTAGATAAGGTGTGTGGTGTGTTATATTCGCAGATTTTGTAAATAACCATGTATATAAATAAATTGTGTACAATGTTGTAAAAAAAATAATACTGTAAATTGTTGTAAATCTAGATCACTTTTATCGTGTAGAATTTGACTTTGACACAGACTAAAACGCCAGAGAATAAAAATGAAAAGACTGTACAATTTGAATGGATTATGGACAAAAAAAAAAAATTCCTACACGTTTAAAATATTTGCAAATCGATTAATCTGGCTTCACGACTGTAGTTGTACAAATATTTATACTATCACTTATCACTCTATTCCCTGTTGGAAGTTTTCAAAGGTCGAAATCAGGGTTGCATTCCTACCTCATGAGCGAATGGTGAATCGGTTTTCATCTCGGATGTTGTGTTTGTTTTCCAAGTATAGCAATTTGAAAGAAAAAAAAAACTATCTTAAATGCCTATTTTTTAAATATATTTTCAAACTAGAAATAAAATAAATCAAACTTGATATTTTTCTACACTGCTTGTATTTAAAGTTAGTTGCTTTCAGATTTAAAACATTTCTTTTTTTCAAAGGATTAAAAAGCGATCCTAACACTAATCCCGATTGGATTTAGCGATTAGTCTTTTATTTGTTGAATTATAAATTCTCTTCTACTAGTCTTTCAAGTGTGAGAATGTGCAAATTGATTTATTTTTGTGTTTTTACTCAAAAATATGATTACTCTTTAAAAAAACAAAAAACACACAACAATAAAAAAAATGTCTAGATTAATAGAATGTTATTTAATATTGTGTAATTATTTTGAAGGTATGGTTGTAATAATAAAGGGAAAGGTCTTCGAAGGGCCTTTTTTTTAGCAAGAGTTGATAATTGCGTTAGTTTGCGTGTGGACAATTTGAATAAATTCATGGGACCTAACTTTAGAAACTGTTAACTTATTTTGATTGTGTAAATAACATAGTATATATAATATACATATATTATTACTAAACCCTGAGGATAAGCACAAAAAATGTATTCTAAGCTGTTTTTAAAAGCTTGTTGCCCTCAGGACAGTTGTACGATTGTAAATATTAAGTTAAGTATATTATGCATAATTAAGTGATATCCACAGACTACACTGTTAGAGTGAGTATTTTGTACTTATTATAAATTTATCACAAGCACATGATAAAATTTCGCCATATAGCGCTCTTAAAAAGAAAACGAAAAAAATGTGATTATCATCCCAAGGTAAACTTTAACAGCATTGTTGTAAAATTTTGTAGCTTAAAGAACACAGCGATAGCATAATAGGAAACGGTTTCATGACAAATGCTTTCAATTTTGATTTCTTTGAGACATTAGCTGAATTTAAAAATAAATAAATAAACAAAGGCTAAAAATTGGTTAAAATTTGGAATTGAAACATTTTGGTTTATGTTAATTTAAAAAAAAAATATTCTCAAAAAATGTAATGGAAAAGCCTCAATTTTTAATTGTCAATAAACCAATCAGAATCTTTTTACATAAGCATTTATTTCCTTCAATTCGTTCAGGATATTTGATAAATAGTGTCGGGAATTAGGAAGTTGATTTTGTCAGTAAATACAGGCTTTCTTGTTAGGTAATTATATTGAGGTGCTTCCAAATTAGATGTAATTTGTAAGTTTTAAAATGTACTTAGCACAATGTTTTGCAAAAAAAAAAAATAAATGTTGGTGCAGTGTGTGAAGTTTTGTCATTTTCTACTAAAATCCCTTTCCTAACATCTTGAGTGTTCAAAAATTTAAATGTAATTGGTTTTAAGTTTGTTTTTTTATTTTATTTATTTATTTTAAAGGTATAAATAAGTTCACTAGTTTTCGTGGTCCGCTTGACCAATTAATATCTTTCAATTAATTAAGGTTTTTAGTTGAGATAAAAAAGTCAGTGTCACGAGCGAGATTCGAACCCACGACCTTCGGCGCAGCTCTACCACTTGAGCTATCACAATCTCGATCCACGCGACGTCTACTCCAGCCGAAGATCGTGGGTTCGAATCCCGCTCGTGACACTTTCTTTTTTGTCTCAACTAAACACCTTAATTAATTGGAAGGTACAAATAAGGCTTTAACCTCGCTTACATGTAGATATTTTAGAAATAAATTTAAAAAACATTATACTCTGCTCCAAAAAAAAAAAAAAAAAACCTTTCTGCAAACATTTGCAGATAGAAGAGATAAATACCGTTGAGATTATACCTGCAAAAGTGTCGGCACAGCCTTCTGAAGTAGAAATACCCTCGGTCTCTTTGTCACAATACTTCGAATTGCCGGCGGTTCGTAATCCTATGAAGGTTCATCGTTTCTTAACTGATTCTCAAGAAAAAGTTTGTACGGTACAAAAACGAGTGGACTCGACCTTTTGTCGCAAGATTGGTACAAAGTCGCACCATAAAAAAATACTGCAATTAGTGCTATTTTAAATCAAGTAAAACAGGGTTCTATCCACGAAAATTTATGAAAAACGGGCGGACACGATGCATACCTTGCGTTCCTCGCGCATTTACATGGCCAATAACGTATAACATACATGAATCCAAATTAAAAACTTTTCGGAGTTTATTGGTTTCAAGGAACGCTACGTTAGAAAATTTGTAGAAAATTTTTAATCTGTCAAATTTCAAAAACGGATTCAGGTAAAAACAAATTCACCTCCATTCAATTCCGAAAGTTAGTATATATTGCACACAGTTCACATGTATATTTCAGGGAAATTAAGTGGTAAAAACGATCTCAGAGAATACCCAATAGATGTTTACTAAGACGTTCTGCTTTTCCACTCTTTAAAATTCGATTCAAATAATTGGATATAATGTTATATTAATATAATATAATGACATATAAGGATATAAGAGTCGATTTAAAAAAATACCTCATATAAAATAATTTTGGAAAAAAATAATTTCTTTAACAAGAAGACTTTTCATCACATTTCTTTCTAACTTCTCATTTTGTGAAACGTGTGGTGATTAGTGACCGTTAATCGATATTTATTTAGAAATCGTGAGATGCGGTCTGGTGTGATGTAGGTTTCAGAAAAACATTTTCTTTATCGTGCCAANTCGAATGCGAAGCAACAGCTCAATGGAGGTTTAACCTAGCGTACGAAAAAGACACAGGGAACCAAATTGCAGCAATAACAGTCAATGACTTGATGCTTCTGAGAAGAAGGATTGAGTCTATTGACTAAACTAGGGAACTGGGAAGGTACAATAAGCCAGAAGGCTGCAGTGCCCGGGGAGTGCAAACCCCGCTTCCTAGTATCCTTTTCTACCATACCATACCATACCATGTAGTGTGTGGAAAGTTGAATGTTGATGCTTCCCTTTCAGCCACGTTGACCTCTGTCACTTTGTAGTTTTTACCCCGGTACGTTTATGTGCGTGCGTTTCTTTGCCGGGCAGGAAAAGGCGAGGAGTCGGGACGGGCTGGTCTGATTCTGGCACCTTTCGACTTCCCGGGCGATAGTCGATAGTTGAGCACTATCGATAGGCCATTTTTCCATAGCAGCTTCCCATTTTACTATTACTATTACTACTACTACTGCTACTATCGACTATCGCCCATCCCTCCTTCCTAGTTCCCGGAAGTATTTAAGGGCCGTCGAATCGTGTCATCCCGCATTAGGACGCAGCTCACCCCCTCGTACCTAACTACCTGTTCAATAAAGAATTTCAACTAATACACGACACACAAGAATGTACAATTACGCAGAAAACAAACACTTTGAGCCCTGAAGATGATCTCAATAAAGATCGAAACGTTGGCACGATAAAGAAAATGTTTTTCTAAAACCTACGTGTGTTCAAATTTCTTGTAATGAAAAATGGCAAAAAGGAGGGAAAATTCAAAAGGTGAGCTTGAGATGGGAAGTTGGTGTACGAGTAGATCGACCCTAGGTACCGTCGGGTTCGCTGGGGTAGATGTAGATGTAATTTATTTTCGTGAATGGAGGGGCTAATCCCCAATTACCCCGAGAAATATCGAGAACTTAGGGTGGTGGGAATGAATGTGTTAGTGTAATTTATTAGCGTGAATGGAGAGGCTTATTGCCAATTACCCCAAGGAATATCGAGTATTCTTTGGCAGTGTGAACGAAGTCTGGTGTATGCATGTAATTTACTTGCTTGAATGAAGGGGCTTTTCTCCAATTATCCCGAGGAATAGAAGGAATAAAACTAAAATAGTGAGATGACAAATAAGAGGTTTGTCCTGCAAGGATAGTAAGACTGTATGGGATTCCAAACAGGAAAATCCCCGTGCATGTATACTGATTAGGAAAAACACTAATTATCCCTGTCTTTCAGAATTCATGACTGGAGACTTAGTTCCCATCAAGGTAGAATACCAATCGATGGGAAGAGACAAGAAGCAGTAGCAGCATCAGCATACTTCCCAGGAGAAGAGGAACACCCTCCCTATCGTTAGTTCAAGGATGGTGCTGAACTGCAAAACCAAATTAAACATATTAGGTATGCAGAATAAAGTTAGCCTCTGCTGGGTCCCAGGACACATGGGAGTAGAAGGCAACGAGAAAGCGGACACCCTTGCAAGGAAAGGGGCTGCCACACCGCTGATAGGACCCGAACCCTTCTGTGGCATAGGAATCCACACTATTAACGAATATCTCAGACAGAAGGACAAAAAGAAAATGAGGGAACAATGGAATTCGCTCATTGGACACAAACAATCCAAGAATCTTCTAACCAATTTTGGCAAGAAAGAAATCACAGAATGTTTGGTGGGAAGCAGGAACAAACTGCGAATCCTAACAGGACACTGCAGACTAAACGGACACTTAAAGAAAATTGGTACAATCCAGGATGGCACATGCAGATTCTGCAAGAAGGCAGAAAAAACACCAACTCATTTACTAACAAACTGCGGAGCTACATTAGCCCGCAGGAGGAAGTGTTTTGGGATGTACAATGTGACCATAGAAGAACTACAACCACTGAAACCGGGCCTATTAATTTTCTTGATGAAATAGGACTCACCGATGTGCTTTAGGCAAAGATCGGGGGACACAATAGCTCTTAAAGGGCGCAGTATACCATACCCTGGAAAAATTACATCTACATCTACATCAAAATAGTGAGATAGCAACAGTTAAATGAAAGACTATCTGATATTCAATACTTATAGCCCCAAGAGATATCGAGAACAGCATCTTTGTGTTTAATCAAAATTTCCAAATAAACTTATGTAACTAAAATGAATGGGAAAGAGAAAAAAAACACCTCCTTTAAGAAAGGCACAATCTACTGATATAGAGACAGATCTAAAACGCAAGAAGGTATGTGGGGTGGGAGTATTCGGTCCTGCAACCAAATGCTCAGAAACCATGGGAAAATACACCAGTATCCTCTCAATCGAGAGATGTGACCAATTCAATCTGAATAAAGGGTACAAAAACAACAATATAGCTATCTTGTTACATAGCCAAACAGCCATCAAAGCACTGATGTTGATAGATGTCAGATAAGGTACGCTGTTAAGATGTTACTTATCGCAGGTGTTTGCAGCTCTTTCTTTGAAAAGTTGAGATCTCATCGTAGAGTCTAATCTAAGCCGCTGTGTCAAATTCATTTGCTGCTTGGAAGACAGAAGCGTTATACCTTGAACTACCTTAAAACCAGTAAGTAAAGCGAATAGACCTTAAACTGTGAGATTTCTCCATGGGGTC